AGACTGTTCTTCTCTAATCCAGTGGATGGTCCTCTATAATATTTTCTCGCCATTGCAGTGTTTTTCACTGACTTAGTGGCCCTTTGTAGGAACCCTTACGTCTACACCATTGTTTTTCTGCCACTTAGTAGTTCAACTAAATCTTCATCCTCACTTTTCAGTGAATTCAGTGGACCATATACAATTGCAAAGCGGATCCTTGACGCGTCGCGAGGGCAGAATAGTTCAAAGCAGAGCACATTAGCTTTGGTTTAGTGAGTCGTTTCAACAGAGGGTGTGAAAAGATTGCCTTTGATCAAGCAGCTTAATCCGCCACCACTTCTTTCTTTCCTATCACTGCGATAAAGTATATACGGCAAATTCGCCACTACTTCCGAGTAGGGAATGGTGGATGTGAGCCAAGTTCCAGTTACGAATATAAGATCCGGTTCTTTTCGACTAGTAAAAGCATGCTAATGTTCGAGTTTGTTCAGGAAGCTACGGGCCTTCGACAGGAAGCAGATGAGAACAGGTTTACCGCTAGAGGTTCGCCTGTGTATCATGTCGCGTACATGTTTCAGTTGCCCCTTATAGACAACCCTTTCGCGTAGAGCTTTGCCCTTGTTTCGCTCTCGCGCTTGTTGACGCAACTCATTCTCGCGTATTCGTTCGTCTTCCGATATGCTCCTTCTGATGAGACATTAGCGAGTCCAGCATTCCGAAAAGCGGGAGCGGCAACTTGCATCTCGTCAAGACCTCAGAGTACAAGCTGCCACCGCGCTTATCACTTTCGAGGAACTCGGAAAATTCTTTCGAAATTCTCTCCGAAAAGCGATAAGCATGTTGCCGATCGCCGGATTCAGATTGAATCCTTTATGCTCTTTATGAGCTCCATTGCCGACATAGTTTCGAAGGAAGCTGACGGAAAAATAGATGCAGCCTGAGAGCTGCCCTTCCCACTCGAACAAGATGGGGGTTGAGAGAGAGAGAGCATTAGAGCTTTTCCTTGGTACGCTGTTCCTTTGGAGGCATCTTTTGATCTTTGTTCTGCCGAAAATAGAGTCAATACCCCTTGCCATGAAAACTACGTAGAAAACAAAAAAACAAACACCAGAACTATGTATCAGAAACAAACTCTATAGAGCAATTTTTAACCGAAATATGTTAAAACCAAATAAAAGCTGAGTAGAGTATGATGTATAGAAGAACTCAAATAAACCTTTAGCTCACGGGAAGACGGCCGATTACCGCGCGAGTAGCAGTAGTGGAATATGCTTTGAAAGATCCGTCGTCTGAGGGTCTTTAAAAGGTAGATTGTTCATTTTTTGACATTACACGCACGCCATGATGCACTTCCTGACTTGCTGGCTTAGTCGTGGAATCCAGTATAGATGCCTTACTTCTACCATTTTATGTCCAACATTTTTGTGATACAGTCCATGTGCCTCTTCAATTATGAGACGGGACAGCTCCGTGTTTGGTAGCACGAAAAGAGGGTTTTTCGTTCTTCGTCTATATCCGCTTTGTTTAGGCGTCCGTATGCTCCTATGAGAAGACCTCCGTCCTTTCTTGAGTCGCGATTCTTGAACGACTCCTTCTTATGCTGTATGTTAACCGCTTGGTGGTTCCTGATCAGTGCACAGTGAGTATACTGAATGTCTGAAGCTGTGAGGTGGCTCCCTCAATACTGGGTGTGAGCGTAATGCAGATAATGTTGTAATTTGTTCCTTAGCAGTCGCTGTAGGTGGCCTGTGATTAGACCAATGAACCTGGTGTCGCATGCAATTGTCATTAAAACTTTTTTTCCTACTACAACGAGAGAGGTCCATCGATTCCTCTGGTTTGCCTGATCCTGCGGTCAACATCGTCACAAGGCTTTCCATTGGTTTATTCTCTTCATAGGGACCTGCTTGGATTTTGATATCAAACAGTGAAGAGTTGATGCCATTATCGGCTAAATTCCGGAGTGAGTATGCTTTCCTGAGAGGAGAATTCATAAGTTGATGCTCCACGTGTTTCTATGTCTGCAGGGTCCTGCTTTGTGTCGATATATACGAACTGGGCTTGAATATTCATCTCTCCAATTGGCTGACGATATTGCATATTTCCTTCATTCTATTTTTAACATATGCACCTGTACCTCGATGGTGCGCTGAGCTCTTCATCCAGCTCAATACGATTTCCGAGTCCGATAAAAGCATAACTCTGGCTATGCCAATAGCAGATTCAAGACTCAAGTAAGTGTTCAGGGTCAGTCGTGCTCCTATTGGAAGTGCATTTATTACCATTTTTGGTACCGTAGTTCAGCGATTATAGTCCGCAACTTTTGACTTGGCTATCAAAAAGTCAGAACCATCAGTCAGTTGCCAAATACATATGTACATGCTGTCATGACCATCCAACTGGCGTCGCAATACGTGACAAGTGAATAGAGGGTCGGGCGGTCAATAGCTCTTCGACGTACATTTTTATCGAATGTGTTTATTTTTTTGCTATGAGGCGCCATTCTTATTGCAGGTGTTGAATTAGGGCCTCGTCCCAGCTGTACTTTTCCTTCCATAATTGTTGGAACTGCTTGGCTTTGACGAGGGATGGTATGAGCCATTAGAAAGGGTCGTATAGAAAGGTCGCGATTTGTTGAGCTATTGTTCGCTTACTGATGAGTTCTTCAGGTTGGACGTTTACGTTTATGTAGAATTTATCCGTCGAGGGTTCCCAACGGAGTCCCAACACTTTGGGTAATTAATTTGATGACAGATCTTCTGATTTGATTGCTTTCGTGATTGCGAAGTGTTTGACATGTATGCTCTCAGGTTATTCTGAAGCACGTTGAAGATCGCTTTCAGGCCCTTGTATTTTTGTATTCCTTCAGCGACAGGTTCCGCCTCTATGAATAAGTTTTCTACGTGAAGATTTGATGCAGTTTCTTCGGCCAATATTTTGTTCTCCACGTGTTTGTTAAAGTGGTATAGGATGGTTGCGCTCAACAGGAATGGCGAGGCACTGATGCCAAATGTGACTCTTGTAAATCTGAACACTCTCAGATTGCCTTCGGTGACTGGTTTGCTTAAATCCTTCAGCCATAAGCACTTGGTAAAGTCCCTGTCGTCCTTCTGCAAATGCACTTGTAAAAAGGCTTTTTTGACGTCTGAGAGAAGGACATGCTTCTCTACACGGAATCGATTAAGTATACCGAACAGCTTTGGAAGCATGGTGGGCCCTTGATGCACAACTTCATTGAGTGAAGGGTAGTTTTTGTAGTGCGCAGATGCGTCAAAGACTACTCTGAACTTCGTAGTGTCCTTATCAGGGGTGATGACAGGTTGATGCACGAGATATTGTCGTTGTTTGTAAGGCTTCTCTTGGCTTCCGTCCACTGGTTAAGGAACGTTTTTGTAGGCTGTTCTTGAAAAACTTGATCATGTTGCCGTAGAAGATCGGGATTATCCTTGTACTTTTGTACAGTGCTTCCGAGTCGATGAATTGCGAGGGCTCTATTGTCTGGTAGTCTCTCATGATCTTTTCTAAGTGGTAGACGAACGACATACCCTTTGTCCTTCTTACATTCCTTTTGTCCTTCTTTTCGATCTAGTTATTGAAAATGGCATGGACCTGGGCATTGATGAAGGGCTTTTCTTCCTTTTCGGGACCGCAGAACCCCTGCCCATCTCAACAGGCTGTACAGTTCAATGGTGTTCCCATTGACCAAGTATTGGATGTGACTCTACAGCATGAGCGGGTGAATTCGTGAACGTCTCCCACCCCCCCCCCCTTTCCTTGGTGTTCCGCTTCCCCGTGACCACATAGACTAGCCGTTTCGGTACTAGAACAGGACCAGATGAGAAGGCAAAGTTTCGATCTTTAATGTTCATGAAGTTCCATAATTGGTCACACCCGATGAGTATTTGTGGAGAGTGAGTTTCCCCTTCCTTTGGAGCACTTAGAGTGAGATGATTTTCACGGATGAATCGATGATCCTTCTCCTCAAGGCGTCCTCTGCGATAGGATTTCGTGAGAACATCGTGTGTGAAACATGTAGATTATGTTGTTTTCGTGTGGAGGCCCACACTTGTAGATATGTATCAATACGTTGAAATTCCTTAGGTTGCTTCTCTCCGAATGTGCACAATTTCATTGTGGTCACGCTGTCTTCGGACAGCTCTAACTTCTTAGCGAGACTTGCATCTATGATGGAATGATCTGCTTTGGTGTCCAAGATTACATGCAATCTCAACGGACATCGTGTGCGTGGGTGCACCGTGTGTGAAATTCCTGATGCACGAATATTTCTAAATCTTTGCTTTTTGAGTTATTCTCTATTCTCATCACAGTTGAATTCGGGATTTCTTCATCGGAGAGTGTACTGTCCTAGTAGGCTCGAGCTCTGTCTGAATTCTGTTGAGCTTGAAGCGTTTTTTGCTCCTCTCCTTCCTGCTATTTGGTGGTTTTGACGACGATATGCGCTCTGTAACTTGCTTTTGGAAGCATGTTGATATATGGTGCTTCTTGCCACATTTCGTGCACCCTTTGCTTTTACATTCGGCAAAAAGGTGATTTTTTGGCACCGCATCCCATGCAGCGATTGGCCCTCTTCAGGCATTCCAAACGTGCTTCTGGACTAACTATTTTTGTGCAGTCAAATGACCAGTGTTCTTGGCTGCCGTAATAGAAGCAAAGCGGTGTGTGCCCTTTCCTTATTGCTGCCGCTCTTTTCGGTGTTTCTGCTGTATCATGATAAGTTTCTCTTCTTTTCGGCATTGACTGTTCGATCTCCTCTTCTTGATCTATGACCGTATCCAAGGTTGTCATAAGTTTTTTCATTATCCATGATTCTCGTTGAGGCAGGAGACTTTTTCTCTTAGAGCCCTCCTCTGGATAGCTTCTGTGAATTTGTACAGTAGTTTTGATAGCAGCCATGGGCTTTCCAAATTTCCGCCTTTGCTCTACAACTGTGTCGTGATTGCCGACAGTTGATCGAAAGGCTTGCGCTGATTCTTCAGCTGTGAGCTTCTTACGCTCCATTGCTCCAGCTGTTGATGAAGTTTGGTTACAACGTTCTGGGCGTTCCCATACTTCTCCTCCAGATGGGCTACCGCCATGTTGTAATTTGCGGAAGTAATCTGGAACCGAGATATAGAGTCGCGTGCTTCTCCCTCGAGTGATTTCAAAAGATAATTGAATTTTTGTAGATAGGAAATCGGGAGGGAATTCACCGTGACATTGAACAGTTCCCAGAAGCTGTCCCATTTCCAGATTTTACCGCTGAATTTCTGCAGCGGAAATTGTGAGAGCTCTGCTCCTATGGCGGGACATATCGGATTTCGTAGAGATGAACCAAATTTATCAAATTGGTTGGATGCCATTTTCCTTGATAGTTGTTATATGTTGATTCCATGCTCGATGAGCAAATCCTCCGTTTGAGTGATTAGTTTTTGTGCTATCATGATGTGTCCTTTTTCTAGGAGAACGTTTTAATCTTGTCCACTGCTGCCGTGTAGTGCCTTCTCAAATGAGTTTGACGGATTTTTATCTCCGCCTCGACATTATAGATCTGTGCTATCCTATCTTTTGATTTTGAGTCGTCTTCGTCTTCACTATATGTGCATAGCAAATTGTTTCTTAGCAGCAACTCTGAGAAGGTCTCGAGATGGCTGAGTATGAGACGCAAGATAAGATATGTACGGCACTATTTACCCTTTACTGCCCCACCTTGTCGAGAATGGGCTGGATTTCTATTGAATTTTTTCAAAGAAGATGAAACCGGCTAGAAACTTGCCTACAGGGGTAATTTNAAATTACCCCTGTAGGCAAGTTTCTAGCCGGTTTCATCTTCTTTGAAAAAATTCGATAGAAATCCAGCCCATTCTCTCGACAAGGTGGGGTAGTAAAGGGTAAATAGTGCCTTATGTACTATAATTGATGTTATAATCCAAATTAGATGCACCAATGTCAAAGGAATAATGCGTAGAATCCAGCAATGTTCGAATTGGAAGAAACCATGGGAAGTGTTCTGAATGCACTTCAACTTGTTGTGCTCACCTTTTTGACTGCACTGGTTCTCCAAAGGATCGTCATTGCAGATGCAATCAATGCTTTAATATACTTGGACGCACCAATATGCAGAATATGCTTGGGTAATGAACGCCGTAATAGAGCAATAATAAAGCTGGTGTAGAGTAGAGAATGCTTCTTGTGCACTACAGCTGTTTATGGTGCCCACCTCGCTACTGAACTCAGCACTGGCGAAATGCTTGATCCGCTTAGATGCTCAGTGCGCGAGGAAGACAGCAATGCACAGCTATAACGATGTTTAAATGCTTGAATGCGGTAGTGAACAAAGAGACCAGGGATATGCATAAGCTACAACGATGTTCAAGATGAGAAAGTGGCTATTCCTTATGCACTGCAGTATTGATAGTGTCTACCTTTCTTCTTACACATGGTACCGAATTCTCCAAGGCTTGCAACTAAGCTAGAATACATCGATGTTCTTATCCCAGTTGGCTGCAGAATGCACAGTTAATTACTCAGTCATGCACAAGTTATAATAATGAAGAACCAGTTATCACTTATGCACTCGATGGTTTCTAGTTCTAGGTTACTTTCCTGGCCCTTAATGCTGGCTTATCAAGTTTGCTATTGATCACACTTGATAAATCAATGCCTTGATTTCACTACGATGCGCTAACGCACTAAGGATGCTAAAGGATACACGAGCCTTCCGCTATCATTTGAAGCAATGGCTCAATCCAATTGGATGCACCAGTGAACGAATTAACAGCGAAATATACAGACTACAATACTATTCAGATAAGGGACAAGGTAGCTTTCAAACACTGCAAACTCAAACGCTCACCCTTCTCCGTCTTCTTCTTGACTCCTCCTGACGGTGGCTCAGTTGCTCGTGGATGCTGAATATCGATCGACCATCGGCCGATGAACCAAATGTGAGATTGATAGAGATAGCTTGGTTCGGTGACCGATCCGTGAGAATAGCTCGAACTCAAACTTGTGTAATTGAACATTTATTTATAAACATTTATTTAACACCCATCACAACAACAATGCGTACGAATAAACAACGAATGAAACATAGAACTTCGTCAAATTTATCAATGAAAATTGAGCACAGGGCGTCAGCATGCGCGCGCGGTTTCTCCGCGCGATTTTGTTCAAAGGAGATCACCTTCGCGATAAGCTCCTTGTTTCTACCAGAATTCCCTACATTCGGTGGGAAGAAACCTCCTTCAACACACATTCAACTCTTACAAGGCACGTGCGAGTTCCCTACGTTGTCTAAGCAGCGTGCCCTCATCCTGGGAACGCCGCTATGTTGAAATCCCATTTAAAATTTTTACGAAATGTAGACACTCGCTTCTATATAAGCTCATTCAACACTGATAGGGCATATGAGAATTCAACACATTGCCTTAATTGTATGCCCACATTTTGAATTCGCTATGTAGAAACCCTATTTAGAATTTCCTCAAGGTGCAGATTCTCGCTTCTATAAAATTTTTTTTTCAAGTTACTGAGAAAAATACCCTCCAACACACATTCATCTCTTACAGGACACATGATAGTTCCACCCCTTGTTCTAACTGTGGGCCGTCATCTGTGAAATGTCTCTATGTGGAACATCATTTGGAAAACTTGAAAAAAAAGATTGCAAATAAATTAAGAAAAATTCTCTTCAAGTATACATTCAACACTGAATAGGTATATGAAAATTCCACACGTTGTTTTTGCTATGGGCCTTTATCTAGGGAATGCCACTATATGGAAACCCTGTCCAGAAAGGCTGTATGGCAGTTTCTCGTCTCTATCTGAATTTCCTGCAATCGATGGAAAGAAAACTTCTTCAACACAAATTTAAGTCTTGCAGGGCACATAGGAGTTCCACACGTTGCTCTAACAAGAGCCTTCTTCTTCGGAATCTTACGAGAATTCCGCTTTGTGGCTTTTTTGAAAAGCATTTTTCCCTAATGGCAATTCTAAGATGAGAAACCACAGTTAAGCAACGTCCTCTCATGTGCCTTGTAAGAGTCTAATTTGTATTCAAGGAGATTTTTATAGAACAAACGTGGAAAATTTTCATAGGAGCAATGAACTCCACTTCGTAGCCTTTTTGATAGGATTTTCACATAGGAACCTTACCAAGACGAGCAACGAGTGAAATCTCCATGCACCTTTTCAGTTATGAATGTGTCTAAAGAAGGTTCCTGACTGGCAAATGTGGGAAATCTTTTAATATATTATATAAACGAGAACAGAAGAGCGAACTGAGTTTTGCTGCTGGTTTTATGAGGACCTTTTCGTTTATAAAGCTTCCTATCCGAATCGACGTGTGGAACATTCACGAACGTTGGTAAGGTAGGTAAGCTGTTTGAGGAAAGTTATTCCTGGGGAGGTGAATTATCCGAGCGAAGAAGAAAGGCTACACTCCACTGCTTGTTTCGAAGGAATTTTTTCCAAGACGAAGTTCTCAACCGAAGCAATATTCAAGACTTCCACGAACGCTGTAAGGTAGAAATGTTGGCCAAGAAGGTCTTCCCAATAAAAAGGTGAACCATTCGAACACATAAGGAAGACTTGTGTTCTGCAGCTAGCTTTCGGGCAGCTAACCTGAATGAAGTTTTTATCCATACAACTTTTGGAACATTCACGAGCGCTGTTAAGAAAGAAAAGTCGATCAAGCAGAACTATCCTCTGGAAGGTGATTCATTCGAACACGAGAATTACTAGAAACAATATGTTTCGAGAACCTTGAGAAGAGAATAATTGTGATAGAAAAATGATTTCCTGAGAATCTCTTTTTGGATGACGTTTCTCATAAGGAATGCCGCGTGGAACTTTCATGAACTTTGTTTGGGTGGAACAGCTGTTTTAGCACGTAAACAAAAACTAAGCACGTAAACAGCAACAACACTAAACACGTAAGAAAACTGCGTTTTGTCGCTGGTTTCGGGAGAACTCTCTCTGTGGAGAATGATCTTATTCAGAACTATGTTATAATTTCGCTGACATTTTCCAGAATGGAAAGCTGTTTAGGGGAATATACCTTGAAAATGTGAACATTTTGAACACGTAAGGAAGAACTGGGTTCTGACGCTCTGTAGGGAATGTCTCTCTGATATGATAACAATGATCTTATCCAAAACAATGTGTTTAACTCCAACGAACGATGTTATATAGAAAAGCTGCCCGAACAGAATTATAAAAACGAAACGGGTATACGAATACAGAAGAATGGGATGTTTAAGGGCAACTTTTAGAAAAGTCTTTTTGTGATGGAGTTCTTATATAGAACAATGCCTGGAACTGTCGAGCACACTAGGTAGAAAATTGGAACTAGGTAGATAATCTGTTCATGGTATTCCATGGAACTGCAAACCCATTTGAACACCCGAAATGCGTTTCTCTTCTGGTTTTGGGAGAATCCTTTCTGTGATGAAGGTTTTTATTCAAAACAGTGTGTGGAACCTCCACAGAAGTAGTTAGGTAGAGAAGCTTTTTTGAGAAGTACTTCTTGAATATGCCTAAAAACTTTTGGGATGCTCTTCCTGAAATAAAGATTCTCATCCGAAACAATGCGATGACCTTTAATAAACTTACATTTTTGAGGAAGGAAAGCTGTCAATAGAGAATTATACCTAGAAAGGTGAACCATTCGAACATATATAAAAGTGCTTTCTGTCGATACATTTGGGAGAGCCTCCCTGAGATAAAGGTTATGATTCAAAACAATATGTCGAAATTTCACGAACGTTGTAAGGTAAAAAAGCTTGAAAAGGCGGTTTGTCCAATAAAAGGACTGTTTGAACACACGAGAAAGAACTGTATTTGCAGCCAGCTTCAGAGCAAACCTGGAATGTAATTTCTTATCGAAACAACTTGTGGAACACTGAAGAGCGTTGTTACGGCAGAAAAGGTTATCAAATAGAATTATCACTAGAAAGGTAAACCATTCAAGCAAGTGTTGCAGCGATTTTTAGAAGACTCCTCCTGAAATGAAGCTTCTTATCTAGATTAGAGTGCATAACATTCATGAGCGTCGTCAATTAGAAAGTGTGTTCAAGCAGGATCTTTTCTTGAAGGGTGATCCATCCAAACACATACGAAAAACTGCGTACTGCCGAACGTTGTTGGATTTGTTCGAGCAAAATTATCCCTAAAAAGAAAAATTATTTGAACGCACAAAAAACTACGTACTGCCGCAACTTTTGGGTAGGTGTTTCTGAGTTGAA